TATAAAATTTGTAATTAATCGTGAATTTTATTCTATATAAACTTAAGCATTGAGTTTAGGAATAATCTTAATTTCGTATCGCTATCCTTAACGCTGTAAAACAACTTCGGAGCTGGCTCGTCTTTTTTCTAAATCAATTGTATAACGCGTTAAAATAAAATAAGATCGCAATCAGCTTTTTTAAATTCAGTATTCTTTTCGAATCCTTTTATATTTTATTAAGCGGCTGGACCCGGCAATTCGTATTCAATCTTATCGGTATTTGCTTTAATTTTAGCTCGCTAATACTTCTTTTTATTAAAGGAAAAGTAGACGTAAAGAGGCTTGATTAAATAAAGACTAAAAGTTATAATATTAGTTTAATTGATTAAAAGTATAATAAAATGAATTCTTACTTAGTTCGTTTTGAAACCGTGCTTGCTAAGTTTTAAGCTATTAATTTAAAAAAAGCTTCTTTACTTTTTAAATTAGCAGCTCGGCACTTCTTTGTTAAAGACCGCGCTATACTTTATTAATAGCGACGAAATTGCTAAACGGTTATTATATAGCGTGACTTTATATTATTAGCAAAATATAAATATTTAAATGAAATAAATGCTTACTTATGCGTGCTGACGTGCTAATTGCCGAGTGACTTTCTTTATCTTTTCATCGGTAATCGAGACGTATCTATCGCGAAGTATATTATTATTTTCTTTTTCGTTTTTTCGCAAATTAAATTCTTTATAAACCTTTTCGTTTAAATTGAATGCTTTATTAACTTAATCGTTATTTAAGTATTTTCTATCATTGAATTTAATTGTAAAAAAAGCGGCTTGCATAGCAAGATTATCCGCGTGGATGCTTCGATTCTTTTTAAAATCGATTAGTAAATTGCTTAGTAAATCAAAGAAAAGAAAAAGTACCGTTCATTTATAAGATTCTTTCGCATTTCGGCTTATCGAGTTTTCTTTTTAGCTTTTGATGCTTAAGAATATTCTAAGGTTTGTTTTTAAATTGCAAAAAGCTGATTAGCGGCCGCTTGATCTCGTCTTTTAGCTTTTTAAAGCTTATTTGCTTAAGGATCTTGTTTCAGCTTTGCTGTACGAGCATTAGTCTTTATCGTATAAAGATTGGTTGATAATTGGCTTCTTTTTGGCTTTCTTTTTTAAGAAAAATTAATAAATTAATAAAAGTTAGAATATTACGTAAAAAAGATACTTACTTTGCGCTTGCTAAGGTTTCTTAGCACCGGATTGCTTGCCGCTACGATTGCCGTCGTATCGGTCGCATTTTAAGAAAGACGTTTTTGATTAGTAAATAGATTAGTAAATAAGAAAATGATTCTTATTATAGATTTTTTAATCTTTTTTATTAAATTAAGCTGATCTGTATTTGCAATGATACTTTTTATCGAATCAAGTTGATAAGCGGCTATATTAAATAGTATTATAAAGAAGCTAAACGTTAAGAGTAATTGTTTAAAGTAAAATCAAAGGTAATAGAATAAAAGTGTTAAGATTAAAAGTGAACTCGTACATTTTATTTTTAAAATATTTTAACGCGGCCGCTAATGAATTCACGAGGTGATAAAGCAGCCGCAGCTAAAATAAAGCGGCCGCAGCTAAGATAAAGCGGCCGCTTCGCGTAATTTTTACTTTATAAAGTAAAGTCTGATTCCTTTTTACTATTACTTAGTAATCAATTATAACTATCGCTTTCTTATTTGCTACGCCTTTAAATACAACGCTATTTATTGCTTTGTAAGGTCGTCTTTTTCTTATTTAAAATTATCAATTTATTAATCGTAAACTAGATTATCGCGATCAGGTCTTTTTATTAATACTTTCAAATAGCTTTTTTATTAAACGAACTTTTGCTTTCGGACCGACTTCCTTTTACCGATATATTAAGCATTACGGTTAAAAAAGATGACGCAAGCTAAGATAAATTAATTGATAAAGTAATTAAGAATCAAGCGATTGAAAGTTAAGCGGCTGAAGGTCAGGCGATTAAGGGTCAAGCGGCTGAAGGTTAAGCGGCTAAGGGTCAAGCAGATGAGGACGAAGCATAAAAAGGTGAAGCAGATATAATACGCGGCGAAAGCGTAAAAAAAGAAAACTTAAATTTGTAAAGTGAATAAAGTAAGTTTATATTTAATTAATCGGAGTACTATTAATACTTTTTCAGTTACTTTGTTTAACGCAAATCTTTATCTTTAGTTTAGCAAAGCTCAATTGGCTACGGATGCGCTAAACTTTACTTTTGCTAAGCGCCGCGCTATTACAACTCGACAGCTATCCGGTTAGTATTTAATTAGTAAATTGATTAGTAAATCAATTGCAAATAGCTAATAAGCATTTATAGAAATTCTTGATTTTACTTTTGCTAAGTGTGACGACCTTAAGCGATTACCTGAAGGAACTCACGGGAGCGCGAGGGTTCATATAAGAGCTTAAGAAAATCTTAAAGTAATGACTTAGAATCAACAATTACCGAGTGTAAAAGTCGAAGGTAGCTAAGGTCTATATATACGAAGGTAGAAGCGCTAAAGACTCGTAAACTATAGTTCATGAGTCAAAAGCGAAGAATAAGAGAATACGAAGAATACGAAAGAAAAAAAGAAAGAAGTAGCTTAGCGCATATAAAGTGCGTCTAAAAGACTTAGCGTGTCGTTACACTACCCTCTCGTCCGAAAAAAGCTCGTCCTCGAGCGTTTATCTATTGCTTTATCACTACTCAAGTGATCGTAGTCATCAATACCGTCCGAATAAGCTTTAATCCATTCGAAAAGCTTCGCGAGAAAGCCGAAGAGCTCTTTGTGTTTTAAGTAGAAGTCACGTACCTTGAAAAGAGCGTACATAAAGTCGAAAGCGAAGTACTAAGTAAAGTCAATATCGCGGCCGAGCTAAAAAGCGCGGTACTTAAAGTGCTTCTTGATTTAGCGTACGATTAAAATGTTCTCTATTTCGTACTCAAGTTCGCTAATGATATTAATCGGGTCAGGTTCAAGAATGATTTGCTCGAAGGTAAAGTCGTTAAGTGCTTTTCGTAGCCGTCCGAAGTAAAAGACTAAGTGAACCTTCATTAACTTAAAGAGCTTAAGTTTGAAGCTGCTATAAACGTTGTCGGTAACCTCGAACGGTCCGTTCGTCGAGTTATCGAGCTTCTTTAATAGTCGAGAAGTAAGAAACGGGCGCATGTTTAACTAAACCTTATCATTAACGTCGAAGTCAACCGAGCGCCTTAATTTATTAGCTTGTTTAGCTATGCGGTCTTAAGCGCGCTAAAAGTGCTCTTTAGCGAGGTTCCAAGCTTCGAAGTGGCGGTTAACGTAAGCGCGAGCTTCGTCTTAGTTAAGCTTGCGGGAAAGGGTTTGGTCGTCAAGTCGTTTTAAGCTTTAATTCTAAGTGGTCCGAAAAGCGTAGCCGTGAATTACCTTAAAAAGAGAAAGGTCGCCGAAGGAGTCGTAAAAGAGCGTCAATTGAGCGAAGTCCATTATAAAAAGGAACTCATTCTAATCGTCTTAATAATAGCTTACGAATAGACGGAAGCGCTTCTGCAAGTATTAATTATAGATTTCGGTCTGACCGTTAGTCTCAAAGTGTGCGGCGGTGCTAAAGGTCAGTTTAATGCCGAAGATCTTGTTGAATTCTTTTTAAAACTCGGACCAATATTAAAGTCCTCTGTCGAAAGTCAATGTTAAAAGAGCTTTAAAATACTTGTAGATGTAATAAATATAAAGCTTAGCGAAGCCTTTAGCGTCGATAGACTTATGATAAAAGATCGAGATTACTTACTTAAAAAAGCGGTCGATTACTATAAAGACGTTGTCGTAGCCGTGTTTATCTTTATTAAAGCTACAAAAATCTATAATAACGTGCTCTTAAAAGCGCGAAAAGATCGAGAGAGGTTAAAGCAAACCAGGTTTTTTATCGCGAAGCATTAAAGCTCGTTTGTAAGCGTAGCAATTGCGGCAATACTAATTAACGAATCTAGCTATACCGTGCTAATAATACTGTGCTGCAAAGAGCTTATAAGTTTTGCGAAAGCTAAGGTGTGCCGTAAATACTTAGTCGTAGACTTCTCAAACGAGTAACGAACGCAAGTTTTAAACGTCGAGAACCAATAAGCGGCCGTTATAAAGCAGTAAGTCGCTTTCTATAATAAGTTTAACTCGTAAACCGTAATTCACGAGTAAAGACTTAGCTCTAAAAGCTTGAATTCGAAGTGCTATGAAACTAAAAGCGGTCCGATTAGCTTTTAAGACTTGGTCAATAACTCGGAATGTCGATAAAAGCTCCGCGATCTCTTCGATAGTAACGGCGGTCTCCGAAAGCGTAAGTTAGCGTAGCTCTTCGGTTAAGAGTCGTAGGTCAACGTTATCGGCGCGGAGCAGCGTTTGCAAGCGCTAAGTGCGCTTAAGGCTGTTCTAAGAAAAGAGCTCTTCGGTGCGACGTATTAGCGCGTCAACTAAAAGGTTGTCTTTACCTGGTCTGTACGTAATAATAAAGTTATAATCGGAGAAGAGCTCTGCTTAGCGTGCTTAACGAGCGTTAAGGGTCTTAAAGGTTATAAAGTACTTTAAAGCTTTGTAATCGGTGATTACTTGAACCTAATAAAAAGAGCCGGCGAGTTCGGCGCGGAAGTTACTAAAAGAGCGTATAATAGCTAGCATCTCTTTGTCGTAAACGACGTAATTAAGCTCAGCGGGAGCTATAGTTTTAAAGTAATAAGCGACTAATAGCCAATCGGAACTATGCTTTTAAAAAAGGACTAAAGCGACTACGCCGTCGGAAGCGTTAGTCTTTAGCATATAAAAGAAGTCTTGATTGTAATGCTATAAGATTAGCGCAATAGTTAAAGCGAGCTTTAAAAGGTCGAAGCTTCTTTAACATTAAGAATTGAATAAAAAAGGAACGTTAGCTTTAATCAAGTGCACTAAAGGCTTTGCGATGACGCCGTAGTCTCGAATGAATCGGCGGTAAAAGTTACAAAATCTAAAGAAGCTTTAAACGCCTTTAACGGTCGTAAAAGGCGCTTAATGCTCTACTATCGACGTCTTGTCCGGATCTACTTTTAAGCTTTTAATAAAAATGATAAAGCTTAAATATTTTACTTTAATAGTACTGAATTCGCATTTTTTAATATTAGCTTAAAAGCTAGCGTCGTCGAGTCGTTAGAAGACTTAGCGAACGTAGTAGGCGTGCTTTAAAAGGTCAAAGGAGTAGATCAAGATATCGTTCAAATATGCTATGCAAAAGATATCTAAAAAGTCGAAAAAAAGGTTATTTATATAACGTTAGTAAATAGCGGGTCTATTAGTCAGTCCGAATAAAAGAACCTTGCACTTGTAAGCACCGTAGCGTGTTCTGAATGTTATAAGCTCTTTTAAAGCTAGGTCCATTCGTATTTTATAAAAGGCTTACCGAATATCGAGTTTCGTAAAGATTTTAACTCTTAAAAGACGTGCGAAAGTCTTATCGATCAAAAAGAAAAGGTATCGATCTTTACGAGTAAAGTTGTTTAGCGCGCGGAAGTCAATATAAAAGCGGAAGGAACCGTTTTGCTTCTTAGCAAATAGGACTAGAGCTGCAAATAGCGCTGTTAAAGGTTCGATAAAACCTTTGTTAAGATTGTCGATAAAGTAAGCTTTAGTAAGCTTTAGCTTAAAGATCGACATCTTATATAATAATAAGTACCGAAGCGCCTTCTCCTTTCTTTCGAGAAGCTCGATTTTGTAATCGTAAGGCTTATGTAGTACTAGCACGTTGCTAGCGGCCTTAAAGAATACGTATGCGTAATCGGAGTATTCGAAAAAAATAAAAAGGTCGTTAATAAGCTCTAATAGTTTCGCTGCAAGGTTAATAGCAAAGATAAAGCCGTTAATGAAGCGTGTTAGCGCTGCTTAATAGTTAGCTTAAGTAAAAGCAATCGTTTAACGCTTTAAAATCAAGCAATCGAGCTTGTAAAAAGACGTAAAAAACAGTTTTACGTCCTTTTAGCGAGCGATCATATAGAAAGCGTATCCGGAGACGCCGTTGATTTTAAGGTTTCTATTGATTTTGTGCTTAAACGTTTAGCGAAAGCGTTTGACGGGTAAAAAAGGTTCTACGAAAGCGATATCGGTTGATAAAAGCTTACGGTTCATTTAAGACATTGATTTAACGTAGTCTTTAGAAAAAGTGTTTTTCGTAAAGCGAAAGAGTAACGGCTTTACGAAAAGGTGAATAAAAGAAAAAGGTTTAACGATCTTGGAAAAGGAAGCGGAAAAAAGACGATTCCGAAAAGAAAAAAGACGATTTTAAGTAGAAAAAAGTGATTCAACGACTATTATTGCTGCTTGATCCGCTCGTGAACTATAGTTTACGAGTGAATTAGCGTCGTAAGCTTTTTAAAAGCGGTCTAAAGCTCGATCACGCTTGTTAACGTCGTATTAATAACGAGCGTTTACCTTACGCTAATTAAAATGTATAATCTTAATAGGTTTAGCGTAAATAGCGGTCGGAAGGTTAAAACGAAGCTAATAAAGCTTGCGACGAGCGCAATCGAAAAGAATCTAGTGCTCAGCTAGCTATGCTCGTCCGAAGATCACGCTATGATTTCCAAAGTTAGTGATAAGAAAAAGAGTAAAAGATTAAACGCGCTTATTAACCGTAAGGTTAAAAAGTATAAAATAAAAGATAATAGCTCTACGAGCTCTATTGTATAATTTAATAAAGAATAAAGCCGAAAGGGATTGAATCAAAGGTTTAAGAAAGAAAGAAAGTGATTTAAGTAGCGCTGAGTCAATCAGCGCGTACCTATTAGCTCTTGAATCGAGCAAAGCAAATACCTTGTACGAAAAGCTATTCTTAATAAAGGTGACGGGTATAGTCATAGCTTTACTACTAAAGAGCTTCGTAAGGTCGAGGTATCGCATATCTCGAAGCTGGCTTAAGAAGGAGGCTTTGCTTAAGCTTCGACGTTTCCCTTATTAAGAGCGTCGGAGTCAGCAGGAGAAAGCTCTTAATGATCTTTAAGAGCGTCGGAGTAGGGCTTATCGTCCGAGTCATCCGAATAAGGGCCGTATTTAAGTCTAGCGCCGTATTCTATCTCGTTGATTAAGTGGTAGCGAAGGAGCTTCGGCGTATTCGGGTCTTTGCGAGACGATCTAAAAGTCTTGATCGCTAACTTAAGAGCGTTTCCGAAAGAAGAGAATTTGTTAAACCGATTAGATCGATTTGCACTAGCGCTAAAGCTATTAAAGGTTTAGCGCTGAAAGGTAAAGAAAGAGACGAAGGCTGAGCTACTTTAGCGGTTCTCGTAATAAGTGATTTGCTTGACCGCTGCTCTTTAAGCCGAGCGGGATTCGTTACGAGCTCTATTATAAAAGCTCTTCGCGAATTGAGTGTTGTACTTAGCTTGTAAAGCATCGTAAAGCTTTGCAAACGCGTATTAGCTAGCAGCTAATTGTTAAACGGCGGTCTGAAAGTCCTTAAAGATTGTAATCTTAGCAAATTCTAAATAGAGCTGGTCGCGCAGCGTCTTAATGATCTTAAAACGCAAAGCCTCACGTAATCGGTCTTCGTCTTTGATTTCGGCGGTTGCGGCAAGCTTCGAGAAAACAAAGTAGAAGTCTTAAAATTGCTAATTAAGCTTTATATAAAGTTTTTCGAACTCAATTAACGCTTTAACTTTCTTAGCAAAGTCGTTCAAGAACTCGAAAGCGATCTAGACGAGTTTCGAAGCGGTTACGAAGTTGCTACGATCTATGACTAAAAAGGCTAAGAACAAGTAAGCTATTCCTTCGATTTGGTTAAAGACGTAGTTCTTGCGCTAGCGTTTTATAAAAAAGTATTTATCGAAAGCTTTTAAGTTGTCGAAGACGCGGGCTTGCTAGTGACGTGCTCGATAGCTTACACCGTTTAAGAGCTTTTGTTTAAGGTTAGAGATCCGCTCGATACGAGCGCGACCTTAGGAAGCCGAGGAAGAGGCTTTAAGGGTGTTGAACCTAGCTAAAGTGCGAAGGTTGGTTGGCTTATAAAGAGAAAGTAGTTCATCGTCGTCGGCGAAGAGGCGGCGAAGGTTGGCGGTTCTATAAGTAGAAGGAGTGGCTTGAAGGACCGAGAGCTTGTATAGCTCTTTGCTTTTAGAATTATCTTCGAAAGACACTTAAAAGGGCTCTAACGGGCGTTCCGTAGTTAGCAGGACCGCTTAGAGCTGGTCTAGTTCCTTTCGAGCTCGACGGGCCTCTTTTTCAGCCCTTTCGGCGAAGGTTTTTTGTTCGCTAGCGCTTTTATCGAACTCTTCGTTGCGGGTTTTCATATTTGCGAAGAGCTTCTTGAGCTTAGCGGCCTTTCGTTAAGACTAGAAGAGAGCTTAGTGTTGGGCTAAAGCTTCTTCGAGGTTGGTAAAGGCCGAGGGATCATCTTTATCGTCTTGCTCACTAGTAGCTTCTTTTTAAGTAAAAGGAACTGCTGGTTAAGCCGTAAAAGAGGGAGGAGCTGCTAGAGCAGCTTTAAGAAGTGTGCGAAGGATTTTGCCCGCGGAGCGAAGGTTGCTGTGTTGTATAAGTGCTATCTTTCAAGTTATACTTAAAATAAGCCTTCTCGTGACCGTTAAAGTCGTCTAAATGTTTTTTGACGTCCAACTACTAAGGAATTTTAAAGAAGAAGAATATTATTAAAGCCGTTTTCGGCGGAGTAAAGTAGTTGTTGATAATATAACGACCTTAAGCGATTACTTAAAGGAACTTACGAAAGCGCGAAGGTTCATATAAGAGCTCAAGAGAATCTTAAAGTAATAACTTAGAATCAACAACTATCGAGTGTAAAGGTCGAAAGTAGCTAAGGTCTATATACACGAAGGTAAAAGCGCTAAGGACTCGTGAACCATAATTCATAAGTCAAAAGCGGAGAATAAGAAAATACGAAGAATACGAAGGAAAAAAGGAGAGAAGTAGCTTGGCGCATATAAGGTGCGTCCAGGAGACCTGGCGTGTCGTCACACTAAGCGCCGCGCTATTACAACTCGATAGCTATCCGGTTAGTATTTGATTAGTAAATTAATTAGTAAATCAATTGCAAATAGCTGATAAGCATTTATAGAAATTCTCGAAACCTCGCGCGATATTGCAAGTTTATAATAAAGAACTGATTTATCTCCGTTCTCTTTTCGCCGAATTTCTTAAGGTCAAGCTAGTAAGTATTAATTACTTTATTAATTAATAATTGTTAATTTCTATTATTTTAAGTGACGCTTTTTAAATACTAACAAACTCTCGCGTAAATACAAACTAGCACTTATTATCTCTTAGACTTCGATCCGGTAATGTTTTTAACTTATAATTAGTAAATATTTACTAATCAAATTTTTCTTTAGTAAACGCAATTAGATTTACTTCGGCTATTCAATCCGAAATGAACAAAAGCATCGTTCTTGATAATACTAGCATAAGTATTAATAGCTTTTAATAAGTTTAATTTTTTTAAACTTTTTTTTTCGTTCGTTAATTGTTTTAAAACTGCTTTAAAAGCAATATAACAATCGACGAGCTAAGCGAGTGCATTAGCTCAGCTTTAAAACGAAGATCCGTCTTACGACTTAAGTGTTAGAAACAATTCTTTTACAGCTGCTGAATCTTCTTTTGCTTTTATTAGCAATCGTATTAAAAAAGCTTTCGCGTAAAAAGCTTTTAAAAAGTCTTTTACTATCTCGGGCCTAATTATAGCTACAAAAACCGCGACGAAGACGATGCCTTATAGTGATACAGATGAAGAAGAGCAAGGCGATGATAAAGAAAACTCAAGTGAAAATGATATTCTTCTCTTTTAACATAAAAGAGTTAAAAAATCACTCTCGACGGCTAGAGCTGCTCGCTCCGTTCTATCAGCTAGCAAATCACTTTCGGCAGTTAAAACTTCTTTTCGTTAAAAATCTAAAAAAAGCAAGTATCTTAAGAAGTCTGTAGTTGTTGCGAAAAAAGGAGGTTTAAGCTAACGAAAGCGCCGTCGCTACAAGCTAAGAAGTAAGTTCAATCAATTAATAAATTGATTCTTAAGTACAATTACTGATTTATATAGCTATTGCGTTAAGAGAGATCCGACGATACTAAAAAAGCATCGAGCTTCTTATCAAAAAGACTCTTTTCTAGCGTTTTGTTCGAGAGATCACTTACGATTTTAAACAAGACTTTAAATTTCAAAGCGGTGCTTTAAAATGTTTACAAGAAGCTTTAAAAGCATTCCTCGTAAAAGAGTTTGAAAGTAAGTACTTATATATTTATTTACTAATCGATTTACTAATCGATTTACTAATCGATTTACTAATCACTTTTAATGACGAACTTATATGCTATTTACGCTAAACGAGTGACGATTTAAAACAAGGATATGGCGTTGGTTAGGAAATTGCGGGAAATCATAACTGGAAGTTTTGTTTAGTAATTTTAGTTTATTATAATGTAATGCAATGTAATTGTAAAGTATAACATATGTGATTAATAAATATAATAAATAAATATAATAATTAAGTAAAATTAGTAAATATTCGTAAATTTGTTTTATTTTTAACGGCCTTATATATATTATTTTTAGCTGTCCTACTTTAAACCTATAGGGTTTCTTTATCTTTCGTAAGGGATTTGACTTAAAAAAATCCTCTTTATAAGGTTTAAAAAAAAAAGTCCTTTATCGGCCAAGA